AGAAAACTAGTTCTAGGCGACCGAGCTCGATTAGCTACGATTAACGTAAACCGAGCTCGGTCCATTTAAACGCGGTTACGAGAACTCGAGCGCGATAGTGAGGCTTATCGAGCTCGATAACATTCTACTTGTCCCCCCGGAAAAGTGAGAGTCCTTGCTTCATCGGATCAGTTTAGTTTTCTGGGCAACCGAGCTCAATACGAGTTTATCGAGCTCGATATGTCAAGCGTCCTCGGTTTGTCGATACCGAGCTCGAAGTCTCTCACTTTTCCGGGGGGACAAAGTAAAAATAGTTATCGAGCTCGATGACTTATCGAGCTCGGTGACTTATCGAGCTCGGTTTTTCAAGAGAAAAAAAAAAAAATTGGAAATAAAAGCAATAATGACCACATGGAGTACAAAATCTAAAACGCCTTCTCGTTCTCAATTCGTTACGGACAAAAAACATTGTGTGGCTGGTCGATTAAAGTTGTTTTGGCGGCGAGTCGGGTAGTATTATATAGACTTTTCTTTTCTTTTAGTCTGTGTTTTAGTCTTAGATTGGTCGCTCTGTTTGAATCACGGCCGTCACGTTTCACTTGAAAGTTGAAGAAAATAGCAGGAGTGGATGTTACGACGGTGGAAATACTCTAAAAATTATCTCGATATTTTTGGGGGTGCGTTTGGTATTAACAAAAACATGACCTGTTTCTAAAAGGGCTTCTTTCGGGAACTCCTCTCGTTACTTGGAATGTGGGTTCGATTTCAGAGTTCTGTAGTGATATACTTTTTAAGCTGCAGAACGTTGATAATTGAAGGAGTTTATTTTTGCGGGGCGACTCGGGCGATAGCATCAACCATCTTAATATTTATTTATTTAGAATTTCATGGCGCGTTTTTACTTCATTGAAAGCAGGACAATTCGGTCGCGTGCAGTGGGATAGCTTAAAAAAAAAGAATCGGTGAAATATACATATTCAAACTACCCCACTGAGCCGCAGCCATGCAAGGCAGAGAAGAGGCAGACGTGACTGAAATATAAGCCTAAGCTCTATAATACTTTTTTAGGCACGACCTATCTACCTTCACAGGGAGGGAAAAGGTTCTTTGCTTTTAAAAAAAAATGTTGCCCTCGACAAAAAGATAGACTACAAGAAACAGGTCATGTTTTTGTTATTACGTAACATCCACCCCTGCTATTTTCTTCAACTTTCAAGTGAAACGTGACGACCGTGAGTCACCCAGACTAAAACTGACAGACATAAAACAAAACCAAAAAACAATAAAGAAGAGTAAAGTCTATATAATACTACCCCTCCCCCCCCCCCCCCACCCCCCCCCACAACAAAAACACAATCCCCTTTGGGGAACAACCAAACAACACATGGAACAGT